CTATGTTAATAGCCATATGTGGCTAGTGGCTACTGTATCAGACCTCACAGTTCTATGCAGATAGCACACAGCACACAGTGCATACTATACATGCCTTACTACATCTTGCTTTGCTCCCTTAACAGCGCCTATGTATCTTGGAGATAGATTGTCCCAGTCTGCCTCATTTTTAAAAAACTGCTGCATAATATCCTCTTGTAATCCACAAAGGCAATCCCAGACCCAGCCTGGAGAGCCATGGGTCATCCCTTTTTATAACAAGCTCTAAAATCTTCCACATATACCATAACCAAGGCACATCAAAACAACCCTAGGTTCCTCATGCCTCTACTTTTATCAGCCTGGGCCTGACATAGTTGGATATTGAGTAGTCACTTTTGGTGGCTGGTGGAAATAATTTACCATGAATGACTGCCCTAAAATATACTCTCCACCCACGTGGCCCATGCCAGGCATTCAGTGGTGCTGGTGGCATTCTTTAAGGTTGCTCATATCTCTAAGTGGTTCTCCTTCATAGAGCAAAGTTTCCTGGGAAAGGTGGCCATTACGCAGAACATCTGGGGCTGAGCTTGCTTTTGCCCTGAGAGAGGGGCCAAAGGACTTAGTAGAGCAGCAGGGGCTGTGACGGTGAACCTCATTGTTTTCAAAATTATTCTTAAGAGGCCAGGTGGCCAGGCGCGGTGGCTCATGCTTGTAATCCCAGCACTTTGGGAGGCCGAGGCGGGCGGATCACGAGGTCAGGAGATCAAGACCATCCTGGCTAACATGGTGAAACTCCATCTCTACTAAAAATACAAAAAAATTACCCAGGCATGGTGGCACACGCTTATAGTTCCATCTACTCGGGAGGCTGAGGCAAGAGAATCACTTAAACCCAGGAGACAGAAGTTGAAGTGAGCTGAGATTGTGCCACTGCACTCCAGCCTGGGCGACAGAGCAAGACTCTGTCCTGCCCAGAAAATAAAAAAATAGATTTTGAAATAGTCTGGCCAGGCACAGCAGCTGATTCCTGTAATCCCAGCACTTTGGGAGGCCAAGGAAGGAAGACTGCTTGAGTCCAGGAGTTTGATACCAGCCTGGGCAACATGGCAAAACCCCGTCTGTACTAAAAATACAAAAAAATTACCCAGGTGTGGTGACACGCATGTGTGGTCCCAGCTACTCGGGAAGCTGAGGTGGGAGAATTGCTTGAGCCTGGGAGGTTGAGGCTGCAGTGAACCAAGATTGCACCACTGCACTCCAGCCTGGGAGACAGAGCGAGATCCTGTCTCATATGTATATTTGAAATACTTTCATCATTAAGTAACCTTAATCATCCAAGTGTATAAAGATCCACATAAATGTTCAGAAAGTTGTATTAATGAAAACTGAGTAAACGGATGCTTAAATAGATTAAAAAACACCCTCTACCCAAAGGTTGAATCATATATCAAATGCATGCCTGACTAGAGAAGATATTGATGTCTGTGTGCCTTTTCATTTTAAACAATATTTACACAGTCCAGTGTTTCTCTGAACAAGACGCCTTAGGCAGCCCATACATGAAAACCCCCATCACTATGGCAACTAGAAATGGCAATAATTACACAGTGATTCATCATGTATCCTGAATAAAGATTGTTTGTCAGGGACAGAGAAACAACTCACAGTCATGCTTCACTGAAAAGAACCCAGTTAAAGAATAACCTGGGTGGTGGTTGTTTTTTAAGTATTTATCAAATTTTTATAATTTTTTTTTTTTTTTTTTTTTGAGACACAGTTTCACTCTTGTCACCCAGGCTGGAGTGCAGTGGCATGATCTCGGC